ATTTTTATGAAAATATTTTTTTTAAAAAAAATTTCTTTTATTATTATGTGTGTGTGTGTGTGTACCATCAAATCGGATCTGACTGGTACAGGAGGAGACTGCCCTTCCTTTTCCAGCTGGCGGATTTGAACCACATACCTCTGGGATTGCAGTGCAGCTTCTTGCCACCAGAGCTCCCTTCTAATGGTATCTTTAACAAAATATGAAAAAATGAAACACAGTCAAGAAAGGAAACGTATTTGTGCACTGTGTCAATTATGCCTTTTTAAAATATTACACAGCCAAAGGGGAAGAAAAGGCCACTGAATGTATGAAACTCTATTTTGCTGCTTTCAAGATGCTTATTCACATTTTAATATCCCTGAAATGGGCAACTTGCAACTATCCTTGGCAATGTTTTCTCCTTTATCAGTACTAAAACAACTATAAGTAAGCCTTGAAATTAATGATATCTTAGACTTAATGCAATAAGGTATTTGGAATGGAGCAAACGAGATCCTGCACTGCTACTCTGATCAAGATTATCAAGTACACAAGCACACACATACTAACAACACAGGTAAAAATGTTTCAAAAATATCAAAGGAAAAAAATAATATTATTTTCTGCAGTTGCATTTTTTCATAATGTTCATGAATTTTTAAATTAGAAAAAGGCAATTTTTACTTTGGAAAAAAAACCCCAAAACAAAACCAGATGGAGTACGTTGAAACTTATGGCTTTATATTTTGGGTATACTTAATAGTTCATAGAGCATGTCTTTAGAATTATTACCACACATTTGGCAACCCTTAATCAGTTTTCAAAAGAGTCAAGATTAAGATAGGTAATAGAGAGCTGGGGTGGCTAAGTGGCAACAAATTGCATTGCCAATGCCAAAGTAGTTGGTTCAAATACACCAGCTGCTATGTGGGAGAAAGATGGGCAATCTTCTCCCATGCAATTTCCTATCTCTGAAAATCCACTGGAGAGTCAGTTATGGGTCAATTGGTTCTGACTCAGTGGTACACCATAAAATAATATAGGAAATACGCCATTAAAGATTATTGATGACAGAAATCATCCTAAATTGCCACTTTATGCTTCCAACAAACTAGGCTGTCTCAATATTTGTTTTATTGTTGTTGTTTTTAATATATACAGTGTTGATTACTTTCTGTGCTCAAGCAATTATTAAATGTTGTTGTTGCACTGTTATGTGCCATCGAGTCACCTGTGACCCATAGCGACCCTACGTATATTAGCTCTGAACCCTGCCCTTTCCTGAGCCAATCTTATCATCTCCCGCAGATCTAATCCCATTTCTCCAGTCACTGTATCAATTCATCTCATCTGGGGTGTTCCACTCCTGTGCTATCTGTCCACCCTTCCAAGCATGATGTTCTTCTCCAAGAACTGGTCCCTCCAGGTCACGTGCCCAAAGTATGTGAGACAAAACTTCAAAATTTTTGCCTCCAAGGAGCAGCCTTGTTTCACCCTCTCTGTAACAGACTTGTTTGCTCTCTTGGTCAAAGACATCAATTCTCCTCCTAAGTCATTGTCCAGCTCTCAGATGCATAGCAAGGAATTGTGAAGACCATGTCCTGGATCAGGCACATCTTAGTCTGCTGACTGACATCATTGCTTTTCAGTACTCTAGAGAGGTCCCTGACAGCAGACTGCCCCAATGCAATTTGTCTTTTGATTTCCTGACTGCTGATGCCAAGAGTGCTGATTGTGGAACCAAGTAAGCTGAAGCTATCAACAATCTCAATCTCTTCTTCATCTATCATGGTGCTGCCAATTGGCCCAGTGGTGAGAATCTTTGTCTTCTTGAGGTTGAGCTTCAATTCATACTGCAAACTACACTCCTTGCTTTTCTGTAGTAACACTTCTGGGCCTCCTCAGTTCTAGCAATCAAGGTTGTGTCATCTGCATAATGCAGGTTGTTAAGTCTTCCCCCAATCCTGATGCCACATTCTTCCTCATAAAGTTCAGCCTCCTGGATAATCTGTTTTGCATATAGATTGAAAGTGTATGGAGATAGGACACATCCCTGGGGTACACCCTTCCTGATTTTGAACCATGCAGTGTTTCCTTGCTCTGTCCTGGCGATTGACTCTTGGTCCAAGTATACGTTTCCCATAAGCACAATCAAGTGTTCTGGGATTCCCATTCTTCTCAGAGTCAGCCACAGCTTGTTGTGATCCACACAGTCAAATGCCTTTGCATAGTCAATGAAACAAAGATAGACATTCCTCTGGTACTCTCTGCTTTCTGCCAAGATCCAACTAACATTGGCTATAATTATTAAATAGGGCAGAAAATTTACTTCAAATAAACAAATATTATGTGGGTAGTTTCATAATTTCTACTGTCTAACAGTAAATCTACACACAATTTCACATGAAATAAAATTCCTGTTTAAGTGTTCAATTATCAATAAGCCGAAGTCTGTGGAAGGCCATAATGGCCCTGCTTTAAGTGGTTCACTGCTCCCACAGCTCACCACGCTGTCTCTGCCTCCGTCGCCATCTTGGATCTCCGAGACTTGAAAACTAGACTTTTTTTTTTTTTACAAGAAAATTAGACTTTTAAGTACACTTTGCTATGTTTAAAGTCTTACGGTTTTAATCACTTGCATTCAAATCAACAATTCTTTAAAATCTGCAACAAATGAAAAACGAAACTAAAAGCAGAAAATGGCATGAAAATGTCAAAATGTGTCTAGTGCTCCAGATTCTTTATAATTATAAAATACTTTTTAAACAATATTTTAACATTAAACTCCCTGCCACCTTTTTTTTTTAAAACACACAACTCACAACTAGTTTTTGCTTTTCAAAGATAAAGCATGAATATAAGGTCACAAGAGGAATGTGTTTTTTCCCCCACAAGTGTTGTGCAGTTGGGAGAGAAAGGCTGAAGAAAACAAACAAACAAATATGCCATGGACATGTAAGCACACATTAACATGGCAAAGGCTGGCCATGCAGGCTTCTGCTAGCAGCTAGTGCTGGTGAGAGTTAAGTCTTCTGATAATGCTGACTAAAATGAAGTCCTAGCCTAAACCAGCAAAAAAAAACAAATGTAAAATAAGTAACTTCGAGTAAAAATCCAAAATGTTATGTTTGAACAAAAAAATCTCTAGTTCTAGCAAGATTTTGTCAAGGTAAAAGGAGCTTAGAAGCATGAAGTTAAAACCACGACAAAAGAGGCTTTTAACAGGGCAGAGAAAATGTCTAACATAATACCGAAATGGTTGTTTAATCACCCACAGGACTATGGAAAAGGTCAAAAACTGGGGTCACTCAAATAGATGATTAACAGAAAGGATAAAGGCGGAAAGTTAAATATAAATAAGTGGCCTTAGTCACAAAGATGGCCTGTACGACTGATCTGTGCAATAGCAAAGTTGAAAGATTTGTTCTAATATTGAACAAGTAAGAGAAACTCAACTTTTAAGGAAATAGTTCACAGGAAGTATACTGCCAATATCCAAATACGAAGAAAAATTCACATTCACACAATCCAAGAAAATGTGCATGATGAAATGCAGTGCTAAGATAACACTGATTCTGTGTTCCCCTCATAATGCCAATCTTGCTTACTGTGTCAACATTTGGAAGCATTTGGATGCTGTGACATGGATGAGACTCGGAAGAGTTACTGTGTGTCAAAAGTGATTTCTTCAACATGTTGACATATTAGTTTCAAGTATGCCTTTTGGAAGACAAATGTTGGCCCACAATTTATCAGACCTAACTCCAAATTGCAGAAAGTGAAGAACTTGAAGCACTGCAGAAGATCAACGACTACAGCCTTCAATATGGATCACATCTCAATTTCAAGAGAATAAAAATCCTCTCCACTGGACTAACAGCATGATAGATGGAGGACAGACTGAGGTTATCAATAATGCCGTTTTACTTGGATCCACAAACACCCATGGTGGTAGCATTCAAGCAATCAAAAGATGGGTTGCCATGGGGAAATCTGCTGTCAAGGACTTCTGCAAAGTGTTTAAAGAGCAAGGATGTCAGCTTAAAGACTAAGGTGTGCCTGATCAAAGCCATGGTCTTTCAGTTGCTTCCTATGCATCTGAAAGTTGGACAAGGATTACAGAAGACCAAAGAAGAATCAATGACTTTGAATTGTGGTATTGTCCCAGAGTCCTGAATATCCCATCGACTGCCGAACAAAATTTACATTCGCATAACCAAAGAAATCCTGGATAATGAAATCCAATGTTAAGATCACACTAGTTCTGTCTCATCTCATAATGTCAACCTTGCTTGTTGTGTCAACATTAAGGGAAGGACATGCAACCAGAGGTTAGAGGCAAAGATGGTGAAACGTCATCTCACTTACTTTGGCCATATTCTCAGGAAGGGCCAATCCTTGGAAAAAGACATCAAGTTGGGAAATGTGGACGGTCAGAGAAAGAGAGGAAGACCTTCAACAAGACAGACTGACACACAATTACACAACTACAACAAAGGAATTGAGCATGACAGAGACGGTGAGGATGGTGCAGGATTGTTCAGAGTGCTGCTTCGTGTTCTTGGTGTTGACTCAATGGCATCTAAGAACAACAACTCCAAATAACTTATTATGACTCCCCATTAAACCAGTCTCACTCGGGAAGGAGTATCTGCCACTATTAAAAAAAATGGAATTGCAACAATGAATGAATGGAAATCCAAAATCTCTGTAAATGTTCATTAAAATTAATAGATTTTTTTAAAAAATGGAATTAAAAATTCCCCAAGGTGAATGGCAGTTTCCAAAACAGGTTTTCAAGAAACAAACACAGACCTTTTATACTAAGTACACAACATTATGATGAATAGCTTGATAAAGACAACAGTCAATTTTACTAACATTAAAGATCTCACTGAAGGAAGAGAAATGGACCTGTGAGTACAGTTTGTACAGTTCGGGGAGCTTCAAAGAAAATACAAGGACGCCTACAGTTCCCGTGTTTTTTAAGAAATCCACATACTGTTAAATATACTTACACAGTAGCTCTTCAGTCTGATAAAATCTACAGTCATGGGAATGGACTTATCACTATTTCTGTTCAGTGCTTTGATGTAATCCAGCAGGTCTGCAAAGAATTTATAGCCACCCTTGAGCACACAGAGGGCTACAATGTGATGGCCTCCCATCTCCTTCATCACATCCCGAGCCAGCCGTTCAGTCCTGCAGGAAGAAAAGTGGGAATCAGGTGGAAAGATTCATAACATTCCTACTTATTACCAACATCCCTTATGTACCCCAAAACACAAAACCCACTATCACGGAGCCAAGTGTGACTCATCACACACACACCCCCTCCACTGGATTTTCATAGCTGCAACTCTTTCTCCCATGGAACCACTGGTGACCGCAAACCCCTGACCTTTGGGTCAGCAGCCCACACACTCCATTTCTGAGGCTACTCCAGGAAGGCTAGTCATGCTCCATAAAGCAAAATGTAAAAAAGAAAAAAAAAATCTTCAAAATCCAGACACACTCTAGCAGCATCAATCATACAATTTTCAGATACAAACTACAGGACACCCCTTTCTTCTCTTGGCCTGGGAAATTCTGATTATAGACAATCTCTGTGACAAAAGGTTAGAAGAGATTGTAACGAAACCAACGCTCTCACACAGCATTAGGAGCATAAACTGATAAAAGGGCTTCTTGGAGGACTGTTTGAAAAGATCAAAGCAATCAATAAAGCACCTTGCCCTGGACCCAGAATTTCCACTCCAATTAAACAAGTGTCCAAATAAATGCGTAAGATGTTCCTTCTAGTATGGTCCATAACAGTGAGATCATGGAAGGATTCTGCACGTTCATTAACGTAGAGCTGGTTAAAGCAACCTTGGTCGAGTCCTGAAATGTAAGGTAAAATGCGAGGTGGCCACCGAAATGACATCTAAAGATGGGCAATCTCCTCCCCAGGGATTTACAACCTCTAAAAAACTGCTGGAGGGTCAGAGTCCTTTCCAACTCAACAAGCTATAGTAATATGGACATTTAAGCCAATTTTTAGAACCATGACAGTATGTACCCAGGTGGTCAAATGTACATACATGCATAGGAAAAAACTAATGGTAAGCTTATACACAGAGAGTTAACAGGGATGAGAAGGGAGAGAGAGGGGAAAAAAGTAAAAGGTTACCTTAAGAGTGCTCCTACAAAGAATTCCTTTTTATTTTATACAAACATGTACACAGACTGTTCTCAGGGGTTCCAAGAGTCATGAGTTCTAATTCCTACTTATTCTTTAACTGTTCTTTCCATTTCCCCTCACTTTGAAACAACTTAAACCAATCCCTGGTGGCAACAGATTCTTCTTCGCAATCACCTTCACTTGCTGCGCCAGCAGCTTTTAAAGCACTGAAAAGGTTTTAGACTTTTTAGTCTTTTCTTTCTCTAAACCAAAAATTAAATCCAAAGGGAGCTCTGGTGGCCTAGTGGCAAGAAGCTGTACTATAAATTTTTAAAAAAGAAGCTGCACTGCAATCATGAAGGTGTGTCATTCGAATTCACCAGATGCTCTACTAGAGGAGAGGCAATCACCTCCTGGGCCAGTTGGGCCCGATTTGACAGTACACAACAATAATAATAAAAAGAAATTAAAAATAAAAAGGTATTTGCAATGACTAAATCATTGAAAATATAAATTCAAAAATTGAATCGAAGGGGAGCTCTGGTGGCCTAGTGGCAAGAAGCTGCACTGCAATCCCAGAGGAACA